AGAATTAGATAATTAAATGTGATTTTTGGTTTAATAGAGCAATAGATCAGGATTATGAAGCATTGTGTACACTTTAATAAAAAGTGTGCACAACATGCCATAATCCTCATTCGTTGTTTTATTCTTAGAGGAAATAAAAGTACTTAATATAAGTTTAATATGAGTTGTCTCTATATAATTTTTTCCTAAATTGATCTCAACAGTAGTAGTTCAGTTTTAACAACTAAAAACAGGACAACCTGGGCACATAAAGAAATTCCATGGACAAGCAACATCTCTAATAATCCTTTGAAACTCTTTTATTCTTTAAAATGCTTTTAAATCTTCACATTAGAACTGTTTAGAATACTAACGAGACTGTGTGCGGGAAGAAGAGTTAAAGGATTATGACATTGTTTCATAACGTTTTAGAACATTTCAAATGAATATTTCTGAAAATTGAAGTGTTTCATCAAAGATGTATATAACAGGACACTGAAACTACTAGCCCAAAACGGTGCAGTAAATGAGAATTTTTGGAGGAGGATAGGAAAAAATCGACTCATTTTTATTACTAAGTATATAAAAAGGCTACAAATGTACTTCGTAAAATTCTTTTTCTGTAGGCTAACTCTGTCTCTTTTCATTTATTATCTCTAATAACAATTAGCTAAACTTGTCATTAATTTTTTTGCTAATTCCCGCTGTTCTAACCATATTCCTTCTTCTTCTTTTTTCTTTTTTACATTTTCTATGAATAGTATCACTAATACGCTAGCTGCAATACTCTGCAAACATCTAATAATTGAATCCAATGGATCATATTTATATCTTAGATGTATCAGTTCTTATTACGTACTAATCAATAATTATACTAATAATTCTCCACCTTCATTTTTTGCGACTAATTGAAAAGATTCATATTATTCATATATCATTACATATTAGCGTGGAATTAATTCTACGATAATATCCTAATAGTCCCTGACTTGCGAATATTAAACTTATGTATGATATGATGACTTGCGAATATTAAACTTATGTATGATATTAAACTTATGTATTATTATGATGTATCCGCTTCATTATGCTTCTGTGATTATAAATATTTAAGCTCATATGAGTATGTTGCGTCACTGGTGGGTACGGGATGCTCCTTCCTGCTGTGAAGAAACATGATGGAAAAAAAGTCCGTCAAAAATTGAAATCTCTAGACTATCTAAAACTATACTCGCGTGTACGGGCCCGTTGCCTTTTACCAGTTACCTGGAGCATCATTAGAAGACAGCGAAATTATTTTTCTTGTGTACTGTAGCAGCAAAACAATTTAAAAATTATAAGTTCAATCCTCTTCTAACTTTCTTTAGGTTTAATATGCTTCCAGTAATGTATATTAACAAGAAATACAACTGCTGTTTTTTAACTTTCAACACAATATTCAAATCCAAAATGTTTAGGAAATCTTTATGTTGAAACAGACTTTGTGTTAAACAATTTTGCTGAGTAGTAGGTACTTAAGTCTCCTGAGCACACTTAAGGTTTGATGGATGGCTAGTCTAAATCTTGAGGCTGCAAGCATGTTTCAGACATGTTAAGGTACCGTATTATAACAGTATTTAAGTAAGATAGGCAAAAGAGGCAAGGTTACGATTCGTTTTAATTTAACTCATCAAAATAAATGTTCACTGTAAGTTTTTTTTTTTTTTTTTTTTTTTTTTTTAAGACTAGGGACAAATTTTACTTGATAAATATGCTAAGCTCAATTGCCTTTGGCTTATACCGTTTGGCCTTTTTAGCATTGTTTCTTACTCGTTTTACTTAGAAACTATTATTTTAATACCATAAGCAAATATACATATTTTAACTCGGTCGCAGACACTTAACCGACAACCACTTAGTTGATTAGACACTTAGTCGACACGTACCTTTAGTCAAGATGGGCAGTTAGGCGACAGGCCACTTAGCCGATACGTACATTCAGCCGACGGGACACTTAACTGACAGGGATATTTAGCCAAGAGGACACTTAGCCGACAAGGGCATTCAGCCAACAGGGCATTTAACCGACACGGACATTTAGCCGACAAGACATTTCGACCGACAGGACATTTAATCGACAAGACGTGTAGCCGACAGCACGTTTAGCTGACAACATGTGCATGTTGACAAAGAAAAATATAAATCAGTTTCGAGAGTGATCAGACATAGGTCTCTGTATTTTAGAAATGTAAAGAAAATTTCAGCAGTTGGAAGAGTGAAACGATTTTATATGGAAAGAATGTATTGAGCAAAGCGAAAACAAATGTAACATAAACTGGATTTCTTTGAATCTTTTATTCATATTTAAAAAAAAATCTTTTTTTAGTTAATAACACTAATTTTAAGTTAATAACACTAATTCAACATTTTCAAAATTCTAATATCTACATTTTTCCCGTTTCATTAATACTTTCCACGACAGATTGTGTTACACTTATTTTTCTATAGTGTCGCTTATCAAAATTCTTAACGAACTTTATTAAAAAAAGAATAAGTAAATAAATAAAATAAAATAAAATAACTTTTTATATTCAGATTCTTATACTCTTAGTTATACATTCTGAGAAAAATGGTTTTTAATGTAATTAATGAAAGATTTTTTTTTTCTGTTCAGAAGATACAGATGAAATGATAAAGCAAAGTTTTAGTAGTGTTCATGAATTTTTATCTGAATTCCCCATTTATATAAACTAATTAGTCTGATTGCAGTAAAAAACAACTAAACTAAAAACGGGGAAGAATTATTTAAGTGTACTAATTGAATGTAATAATTAAAAAGTTAATTTAATGAGACTAATAAACAATCGATATGTAACCCATTAGCAAGGGGAAAAATACCGTGCCTTGTTGAATGTGATCAAGTAACTTCTTGTATTTAAAAAAAAATCATTTAAAATTTTTATTGATAAATCTTGATTAACTCTTTCACATCGAAGTCTCCCAAACACCCAGCCATTCAGATATCGGCAGGTTGCCTGGACGCCTGAATTATTTTCTACTTGGGATATTTCCCCATCACGTTAGTGCATAGCTCATTGCTTTCGGGTGTTGTTATTTGACATGCCAATCATTCTTTTGAAGTGACTAAAAGTAGTTCTGTTATTTGAATGCACCTTCCTTCCACTTTGTTTAGCGTCAATGTTTAGCTATTGATGCTCGAAACGGCACTCAGTGGTGAAAGTACATGAGGATCCCAAGAGGAAAGTTATAAGGTTGTTGTTGCTGCAAGGGTGAAATTCCTGTCCCCCCCCGGGCCGAAACAAGTTCAGTCATCAATCCATAACAGGAGCCAACTCGTCAAACAGAATCGAAGAACAGCGAGTCAGCCATGTTCCATCAAATTATCCAATCCAATCAAAACCCCTATGGCTTCTATAATCTGATTAATACTCATCATAATTTCTTCAGCTACTTGTTTAAATTTCTCATAATTTTTAAAATCCCCCTTCATATCAAACTGTTGTCTCTGAACTATGCCTCTAGTAAAACTACAAGATTCATGGAAGAGGCAACTATTACCTTTTACCTTTTACAAAACTGACAGTTTTCATTTTATTTAAGACCAAATCTTTTAATATATGCTGGGAGAAGTTATAAGGTATTTTCTCCCTACTTTTGTGTGCTTTCGTGGTGCAACGGTTAGTACACTCAGTGCGTATTCGAAAGGTCGAGGTTCTAGTCCCGTGGCGACTGGGGTTTAGGGGACCGAAATTCCAAATCCTGGGTGGGGAGAATCATCATCCATGAATCTTTTAGTTCGGGCGCCACTTGTAGAGATATTAGGTATTTTTTGAAAACAGAAGTGAAAAATAAGAAACGCCTTCACCGGGAATCGAACCACGGAACTCTGGAATACGCGCCCAGCCTGTAGACCACCGCCCTACGAAGGCATGATAAGAAGGCGAGAGAAATACCTTATAAGTTTTCTATCACGAGCTGTAAGATAAAGAGAACCAAAGTCTTATAGTAAATAAATGATTGTAGAAAAAAAAAATAAAATAAAATAAAACAATGAACGTCTAAGTAACAATAAACTAGGAAAAATTTTAATCCTGGAGAAAGTGTGCGTTAGATTTTAGCTCTAAATTTTGTAATTTATTTAATTTTTTTAATCGTTTTAAAAAGGAATTATTATGATTCTCCAGATGTGTATGTTTAAATGTCATAATGTTTCAAATAACGCTTTTGTTTAGTAATGCAGAAAGGGCATTGATTCTTTTGGGAAAGCTTTATATCTGATATCATCATCACTAATGTAGTAAGTTGTCTTCATAAAATATACCTGTGAGTGCTGCAAAAAACAGAGGACATTTATAAGGATTCAGGTGATGTATATTTGAGCTTAATTGTGTTCATTCACAACTTCCTTGCACACGTAATGTTCAACAGGAGATCAGATCTCTTTATTCTTTTTAATAGAATAGCACTTTAACTAAATCACCATGTTTTGATTTAAGATCTTTCTCAAAATCAAAGACGATTAGAAATTCGTAGAAAGTGGTAGCATATTTAACGCTACCTAGGATGTGCCATAGTAAGTATGCCTTCTATGCTACACTACCTTTCTGAAATATCCTGGGAGGATTTACTCTTTTAAAAAGAATAAAATATCGAATAATGTCGGAAGACCTGCAGTGGTGAAAATGCTACATGAGCATGACTACGTACAATGTAGTTATGCCCACTGAACAGTTTTACAGTACTGTAAAGTAGTGGGCATGACTGGTCAATTGTGAAATTTCGAGTGGCTGAGATTCCTGATTTTTTTTATCTATGTAGCAGTTGATAAGAAAGAACTACTAATCATGCTAAGAAATTTTTCATTAATCGTTTTCATTAATTTCATGTACGAACGTTGAAATGCCAAGTAAGGAAAACGCCTATTATAGGCATGTACTTAGGTTAAATAAATATTTTAAAATTTTATTCTAATAACTCCTGTACTTTATGAATAAACATATAATAAGTGACGTTTCTCATAGGCGACCCAACAGCTGCTCTTCGAGACACTTTATCCAGGCTAGTTCATCGCCAGGACAGGAGTTCGTTGTCTGATCTGGGAGTAATCAAGGATGAGAATCCGCCTGGCTCATCGTCGGCCGAGCCACCCGACCAGCAGGCGAGAGGACCCCTCCACTCACTGGAATCTACGGAGGATGGTGATACTGCTGGAGGGGGAGGAGCAGACAAACCCCGGAAGATTCGTCGCAGCCGCACTACCTTTACCACCTACCAACTCCATCAGCTGGAGAGAGCTTTCGAGAAGACTCAGTACCCAGATGTCTTTACAAGGGAGGAACTGGCGATGAGGCTGGACCTTAGTGAAGCCAGAGTTCAGGTGAGGATTTTTTCATTCTCTGAAGAGAGACATTTCTTTGATCACTCATTGCAAGTGATCTTTTATAACTGCGTTCATTGGGAAAATAATTTTAGAACTTCATTGCCTTAAATAAAAATTATAAATAATTTTTATTTAAGGCAATGAAGGAAAATTTATTTCGAATAATAATAATAAAATAAAAATTTTTAATTAATAAAAAATAAAAATTTATTTCTTCTTTACATTATACTAATTAAAAGTCTAACAAATTTTGAAATAATTAGGATATTGTGCCCTTTTAATAACATGAATTGCAGCGCTGACAAAAATAAAAGACTTTCTCATATAAGATGTTTCTGCATTTTTAAATGTGCTTTACAAGAGAAAAATGGGCTTGTGTATTAAAAGACTTAGGAATTATTTGATATGTTGAAGGCACTTTGTAAGAAAGATGATTTAATGGTCTAAATACTTCTCTTTTAAAGAAGGAGTGAACAAATACGTTTCCTTTTAAGATAAAAGATATAATAATATAAATATTAGTAAATATAATAAGAAGAAATCTATCATATCACATAACAAAATGAAATAAATGATGAATTACCTTAATATATTTTTTAATATTAGGTTAAAAATAGTATCAGGTATAGTTTTAAGAAAGGCATATTAAGGGCGAAGTGCATTATCTTAAATTCGGGACAACACTGTAGAATCAGATAAAGTTTTTTCTAAATGTTAAAGTTTTACTAAAAATGAGTAGGATGTAAACCTGGTTGCAGTATAGGAAATATAAACTATGAATGGGATTTCAGTACCAATACTGAAGAACTGCTGATACTGGAATTATGGCATTGATGCTGAAAGTACTAATATTGAATTCCAGCTATGAATCTTTGTATTTTTTTCTTTCTAATTCCTTTATGTTTTTTCAAGTAAGATTTCGCTTTATCCCTCCAAAAATATCTTTAAAGAAAATTCATAGACGATCTTTTATATGAGTATCTTACATTCCGACAAATGCAGTATTTAAGATTCAGATTGCTTTCAACCGAAATAAAGGTTTCTTTTCTAGTTTAATACACGATTCTTATTCGATTTCATTATTAATTACGTTATTTTTAATGCAAGTACTTTCATTCAATTTGTAAAATAATCATTTCGAATATCAGCATTAAAATTTACTGCAAATAAGAGTTTACAGTAGTTGTTATTGTTAAAATACAAAACAAAAAAAACTTTTCCAACTTTTAAGATTTATTTTTTAAACCAAAAGATTAAAACAAACAAAACAAAATTTCCAAGTTTTAAGATTTATTTTTTAAACCAAAAGGGGCTATTACTTTTGAAACGGGATTTCGCGTCAGTTCGATATAAACGGTGTATCACCTTTCAACTATTGCCACCAAATATTAACGCCCTGTTTGAAGGATTTAAATAATGAAGAGTCTGCATGTAAGAATGTTCCTCCTTTTGCGAAAAAAACTACGATACCTAGAGCCATCAAATTTTGAATAACGTAGTCCTAAGCCCGAAATTGTGCACCTGAAAGCCCGAATTTTGAATTTGTTTTATTGTCTATTTTATATTTTGTAAAAAATTAATGAATTTTTGATTAACAGAACGAATTGGAAGCTGGCAGTGCCAACACGGTTCCAAATCAAGCGCGAGAGACTGTTGGCATTCGGAAAAGAATAAGATATTTATCTTTCAATTCTTAATAGAATAAGATATTTATCTTTCAATTTTAATAGAATAAGATATTTATCTTTCAATTTTAATAAACTTGGGTCTATGAAAGCAACATGTTACAAGAATTAAAATACTAGAATCTTCCATGCCCCGGCGTATTGCCAGTAAAGACTAAGATACTTTCAAATTTGTACGATTGTAAAACTTCTAAAGCAAATATGAGTATAATTGTTGAAATATATTGCAAAATAAGGTTTAGCAATTGTTTTTTATATTCCTCAGTAGTGCTAACAATGGGAAATAGTAATATTCTGTAACCTTTTAAAAAGTCATTTTCATAAGCTTGTAGTATTTCTGAAAATAAACCTACGGCTTTCGCTGTAAATTAATGATATCAATTGGACTACTAATATGTACTTAGCATGTTAAGATATAGTACAATATTTTTCATACATAAAATGCCCGTGAACATTATTACAGTTTTATGAATAGCATATTCTTATTTCTTTAAATTATAAACCTTAGTGAGCCTTCATCTTTTTTAAAATGGATTTTTGGAATCATTCAGAAATTTTAATATTATATTATTGACTACTTCAGTGACAGCGTAGTATAGTGTGCCTCTTTTACAAATAAACCTTTCCAGTATTATACTGATTGATCTATAGCTTTGGACTGGGAAAAAATTATAGTACTTCCTTATCCATTATATGATAAAGCCTTTTGTCATTCTTAAATTTGTATCTGTGAGTTTGAAAGTTTTATCGAAATTTAATGAACAATATAAGCAATTCTTGAATTTAAACGTAATCACTTTTATTCAGTATTCCTAATCAAAACGATTTTGTACAAAATTATTTAAATGAGTTTCTTAGGCTTTGAGTAAAAGTTCATTTATTGTCTTTATAAATGAGGCACATTACCATTAATTAGTTTTTAAGTTCCATATATAAATTTATCTTTTCAAATTTTATTCATTTTTAGAAGTTCATGTAATATTTTTAATTACGGCCTTGCTAATATAAGTAAGAATATCAAAATTCCTTATTTTTTTTTTTGTTTTGTTTTGTTTGCAAGAGTGTTTTGCTTTGTTTGAAATTCTATGATTTCTATAGAAGTTTAATATTTCAACTTACTTAACTTTTGACAAAACGGAAGCTCCGTGACAATAATGCAGTAAGACCAGATGTGTGAAAAACTATGCTAGATAATTTGTAGAAAACTCATAAGTATATGCTTCAGCTATATTACACGATAGATGCAGGTTCGTGCGACTTTTTCTTTTACTTATCTTACAGATAAAAAGGAGTAAAGGGAAAACATGGAAGAGCTGCGGAGTAGACCGAAATAGAAGCTCTAAAAAAACAGCAAAGAGGATTTAATGTTTTTTTAGCCTAAGAAACGGCTTGGTTAAAAAAAAAAAAATATGGTGGTACACGGATATTTAATTTTAAAACACGTGCACTGAGAAAGTGACAGAAATAATAACACATAAAGTTAAGTGCGTAAAATATTTACGCTATTTACGGCAATCTTCATTTGAGTCACATCACAATTGTAAAAATGCGCGAATGAATAATACAGCTATCAAATTCTACTGGGCATTTTGCAATTACAGGTTATCAAAGAATGATTACTGGAATGGAATCCTCTTTCCTGAAAGGTAATAAAATATTATTCGATTATTTATGTCTAAAGCTAAAGGAGATTTTACCCTTCTTTACATTGTTAACAGCGAAATAACTAAGGATTTAAAGGGTTTCAAAGGGTTTCAATGCACACATAATGAAAACCTACTCTGAATACTGCTCCATAGGGCAGTGTAACTGAGGAGATTCTCGCATTATTTAGTTTGATTATGAAGTGTCTGAATATAGTTTGATTACGAAGTAATGTGTATAATATACAAGATTACGATTGCTTGAGGTTATTGGAACTGATTCTATGTCGGATATCAGTAAAGCTGCATACAAATTAAGGCTGCCAATATTTCATATTTCTAACATATAAACAAATAATTTTTAAGCCTTTTTACTTCCTTGTACAAAGTAAAAGGAGTATTGCAATCGCGCTAAATTTCGGGTAACATATTTCAACGAAAACATTCATTTTGACAGCTCGCGAAGCCAAACGATGTTTTTGGGTTACATCTATACGTACGAAAAATTTATATATAAATAGATTAAATAAATAACCATTCTTTTATCCAGCTTGGTGAGCTCAGTTTTTGTTTATTTATTCTTATATGGTGGTAAAATCTGCATTTTTTGCTTTAAAAATGATTTAATTATGCTATTCTTATGTTCCAGTTAAGGTTTTTATGCTTTCATTTTATCTGCATGCAGTAGTTGTGGAATTATCAACAATTTAAAAGTTTAAGTAACCCTAGGCCTAACGAGGCTGCTATTCGTTTACTTTTGAACCTCTTAGTATAGAATAATAAATTCAGTTGGTGCGCCAACTTCAGTGTCTTTTTTCCCCAATGGGACTAAAAGTTAACTTTCAATTTTGTGCTCTGAAAATGTTTGTATTCCTTCCCATTGGTCGAACTGCCTGTTTTTGCGTAGAAGCTCTAATTTTAGTTGTAATATTTGGTGTTTATGTTTTCCTGTATTTTACAGTTTTTAATGAAGATGTTTGAACACGGTGGCGTCTACATCAAATATTTTCCTAACATAATAACATTAGAATTAGAGAAAGAAAATATAGCATTAACATTTAATGATACATTTAGATACAATAGCTTTAAGAACAAAAATGCGTTTTTGGTAAATTTGATATGATGATTTCAAGCTAACAAAAATTAAAAATAAAATGATCAAAATGATTTAAAAAACATTTCATCATCTTACAGTACTTTCTTTAAAATACCTTTTTAGTTTTTTTTTTTTTTTTTTTTTTTTTTTTTTTCCCCGCAGTGATTAAGTTTTTTTTCTTTTTTTCTGTAGTGTTAGCAGTTTGCTAACTCATTGCAATAAAAATTCATTACAGACTTCCATACTAGCTGCACATGGATCGCCAGAACAAACTTTGATGTTTAGAAACTCCTATAATATAGTCTTTTTGTTCTTTGAGTCATACGATGAAACGTCACGTTGCGCTGCCAAGCTTGGGATCGTTAACAGGCCTGCAAAATTACCAATCTCTTCATCCACTGAGATCTGGAGAAATGAAACGAACATTTCTGAGAACAGGAAACCTTTCCATAAACATCACTAAACATAATTCCATAAACAAGTTATTTTTGCAATCATAAAAGTGCTCTGTTTGAACTAAATTATATGGTATAAAAATAATAATAATATAAATGTTAATACATACTGCTAACA